TTGCTTTGTTTTGTTTTTTGTTTTTTTGAATGTCCAGAGGACCAGATTGAACTTTTTTTGATTTTTCTACCTGGATTATTGAGCATGCATCAGGAAATACAGTAGTCCCTCGTCTATCGCGAGGGATCTGTACCCTGAAGCCTCGCGATAAGTGAAAAACCGCAAAGTAGGAATATAGTTCAAGTAGAAAGTATTTTATTTTAGTGTGTATATATATATATGTATATATATATATGTATATATATATATATATATATATGTATAAATATATATATATATGTATATATATATATGTATATATGTATAAAACGGCGTTTTAAACCCTTCCCACACTTTTGAAATATTCTAAACAATGTTTCTAGTCACTCTAAAAGAGCACAAAATGTCATGATCCTCCGGCTGCACTCTTGGCCACGCCCACTTCTCCGCTGCAGAGCAGAGATCAGCAGATCAGCTGCAGGAGGAAGCTTCTCCCACTGCTGTGGTCTGCACACTGGTGCAGTAGGTGCTAAATCATATATTTTAAATGAAAATTCCATGCCGATCGTGCAACTCATCCATCAATCAGACAATTGTGTGTCATGTCCAATCTTATTTTGAAAAACCGTGATAGAGTGAGTCCCCGATAAATGAACCGCAAAGTAACATAAAGTTTGTCTGCTTGTGTCGTTTACTCTGATGGTTACTTCATCAAGATCATAAGTTCCACATTTACAGCTGATCTCGAATGCAATATAATTTTGTGTAGTTTATTTTTAAGAAAAAAAAATGCAGCTTTAAGCTAAAAAGCCACAAAGCAATTTTAGTAACAAAAATATATTTCAAAGTCCCAAATGTTACTATCTAATGAATAATGTGTGAGTAAAAGGCAAATGAACAACATTTAACAATGATCAAAAACAGAATCTAACCTAAGCTAACCTAATTGTGTCTGTGTGTGTTTGTTTCAGGCTGAAGCGTTACAGTGAAGGTAAAGAGGTCCTTGAGGCAGAGCTTTATTCTCGTTTTGTCCTGGTCCTTAATGAGAAGAAAGCAAAGATCCGCAGTCTTCAGGAAACTGTCACCAACCTGCAGGAAATGAGGTGCTTTGTGTATCCAGCATTTTCTGGTTTTATAGAATTATTATTATTTTTTTTTAGTTTTATTTCCAGTAGCCTCACAAACTTAGCATTCTGAGATGCTGAAACTGTCTACTTGAAAGATGACAAAGACAACTAAAATATGTTCAGATGTTTAATTAACATTTGAACATCTTTTGTATTTGTAGCAATCTTTAAGTCGTCAGATTTGTTTTAAAGTTGTGACATTATTTAAGTTATCTATTGTTCTGGTTTCTCCTGTAGGAGTTCTGATGGACAGAGGAACAGAAAAGCTGTAAAGTCAGACCAATCAGCAGGTCGGGACAGTGAGGCTGAGCAGGATGAATATGGAGGAAGCACTGATGAAGAGCCAGAGGAAGAGCAGCTGTCAACAACAGCTTCTAATGTACCATCTAAAGGTAAGATTGTTCGCACATTATTCAGTCCTCCATAACAATCTTCCAAAATAGTCCCACTAACCATAAAATGGGTTGAAATCTTTCATTTTCTTGATACAAATTGGAGGCTCGCCACTCTTGTCTTTAGATAATAACTTTTTAATCAAGTGCGAAATGATTATTTTACAATTAGTTGTATTTCTGCTACCTAGTATCCTGCTATTGTCATCTGTACTCGCTGTTTGTGGTTTGGAAGACCATAGAGTGCAGAGCTGTTTATTTTGTAACTATTAACTTTCCATACAAACAATCTTGCATTCACCTTTACATGTACCAGTGTGGGCACAGTCCTCACAGTCAAACTGTTTTTTTGTTTCAGTAGCATCGTGTTTTAACACTTTCAGTGCAGCTTGGTGTAATTTTCTTCAGGATTATTTTATAATTTTGCCAAAATAACCATGCAATGCCAAGCTGACAGCAATGAAAAAGTTTAGTTTTCAAGAATTGCTATAAAGTTTTAAAGAGTGAAGTTGTTTTGAATCTGCTTTGGAATCTGTTCAAACAGGTGTTTTTTTTTCCTAGCATTTGGCAAGTTATCTTGCTATTATTAAGAGCAGTTTTTCAGCCATTGTCCCTATAAGTTTTAAACATGTGGCGGTGCAGCCCCTGATTAAAAACAACTTAGCCATGACCAAACTGTCTTGTCTAATTTTAGGCCCACCTCAAAGCTGACTTTTATTTAAAAGATTTTTAAAACAATTCTAAGATCAAGTGATGACACATCATCCTGGAGGTTTTCCAGTCTGGCTTCAAAACTTGGCACAAGTCAGAATCAGCTCTACTCATTTACGACGTTCTTAATGATTCTGGTGAACATGTGGTTCTTATCCTGCTCGACCTAACCACTGCTTTTGACACAGTGGACCACAACATTTTAATATCACGTTTACAGCACCAAGTGGATATCTGTGGGGCTGCGCTGAGCTGTTTTAGGTCATATCTGGCAGACAGAACCATGTGTGTCAATATAGCTGGTCCTGAATCCTCCACTGCGCCTCTGTCTTTTGGGTATTCACAGGGCTTTATCTTAGGCCCCCTGCATTTTTGCCTTTACAGGCTTCCTTCAGACTTAATCCTCATAAAGCACAGGATCTTTTTTCAGTTATGCTGATGATGGTCAGATTTATGTGCTGCTAAAAAAGAAGGATGCTCTCTCAGCTAAACCTCTTCAATCAATCAATCAATCAATCAATCAATCAACCAATCAATCATTCAATCAATCAACTTTTTTATATCTGTAGGTAGATTTGATTGCAGTGAAGTAGTCAGCCTTCTTTCCAAAACATAACATTGTAGATGCAACATGATTAAAAGTGACTAGATGCTTAATACTTTAAGATAAATAAAATGTCTCCATCTTAAGAACAGTATCAATAAAATGAAAACAAAAAAAAAGAGAGTAGATAAAATCAGGTAAGATCAGGTAAAACCTGAGAAGACAAAATATGAAGGAAAAAAAAGCACATTAGAACAAAAAATGAAACAAGACAAGATAAAAGGATAAAATAAAGAACTGTGCTAAATCAAATTTAAGAAACTGATGGCAACAGGAACAAAAACTGTCTTTAAAACGCTTAGTTTTACATTTTGGCACTAAGTATCTGCATCCTGATGGGAGGTGCCTTAACTGACAATGCAGAAGATGAGACCATTCTTTTAAAAGGATCCACATATCCTCTACCTGACTGGAGAACAGTGAATCTGGATTTAACAATGTTCAGTCAGGTCATCTGGACGGTATCTTTTGTTGCTGAGATGTTTCGTCCTTCATCCGAAGGACTTCTCCAATCTGAGGAGTCTCAGTCCACCAAACCAAACTGAGTCCCACAAACAGCTCGCTCCCAGAGTGGAAAATAAAACAACTGTTGCAAGATGGCCTCTGGGGCCTGGCCTCTCCCCCTCAACTCCTCTAAGGCAGACCATGCCAAAGTGGTTAAAAACACTAAAGTTCATGCTCATTAATCCAGGTATAAATCCAACAATGTTCAGTCAGGTCATCTGGATGATATTTTTTGTTGCTGAGACATTTCGTCCTTCATCTTCGTACTTCTTCAATCTGAGGAGCTGTTTGAGGTGTGAGACATTTGTGGGATTCAGTTTGGTTTAGTGGGCTCCTCAGATTGAAGAAGTCCTTCGGATGAAGGACAAAACGTCTCATCAGCAAAAGATACCGTTCAGATGACCTGACTGAACATTGTTGGATTTATACCTGGATTAATGAGCCTAAACTTTGGTGATTCTGGATTTAGTTGCATATGTCCTGTCAGCTTTCTGGACCACTTCGCTATTTGGTTCAGGCCATTCTTGATTTTGATAAAAGGATGACAGTTTTCTGAGGAAAAACAGGCACTGGTTCCCTTTTTTATAAACGGCTTCACAGTTTGCCTCAAAGGTCAGTTTACTGTCAATAACTGTACCAAGATATTTGTATCAATGCATTCAACAGTCTGACCCTTTATAAAAGTAATTTCCTGTGCCTTAGGGTGTTTTCTAAACTCAATAAGCCTATTCTTTAGTTTTGGGAATGTTCATCTGCAAAAAGGATTCATCACACCATTCATCAAAGTCCTCAGCCACAGGGCTGTGACATGTTTCATTTACTAACAATGAATGTGTCATCTGCGTACTTAAAAATAAGTCTATCATCCCTTCTGCTACAGCACATGTTTGTGTAGAGGCTGAACAGGAGAGGTGATCGAACACATCCCTGTGGGCAGCCGGTGGAGGAACAGACCTGACTGAACAGAGAGACATTCACTCTCACTCTCTTTGTCCTGTTCCTTAAAAAACCTACGATCCCACCCACAAGATGAAAACCTTTATCAAACTGTTCTAGAAGCCGCTCTGCTAAAATGTAAGGTTGAATGGTGTTACATCAGATGAAACATTGATGAATAAAATTTTGGTCACAGCGTGTGCATGTGTCCACTTTCACCTTCTGTTGTGTCTTGAATCCTTAAAACTTCTTACATTTTAATGAAAAGAAAACAAAAGTGATGGTGTTTGGTGCCAGTGACTCCTGTGTACCTTCCCCAATTGATCTGGGTCCGCTGGCACTGCATGTTACGAAAACTAATTAATTAAATGGACCTTGGTTTTATATTAGATTCTCAGATTGGAGCGGTTGTCAAGGCCAGTTTTTATCACCTCGGGCAGCTGACTAAGGCAATGCAGATCCCAAAACAACAGCAGTTTGAAAAAGTAATCCTTTTCTTCATCACATCTCGGCTGGTTTACTCTTTACCTTGGAGTCAGCCAGTCCTCCCTCAGATGTCTCCAGTTGGTCCAGAACGCTGCTGCTCATCTTCTAACTGGAGTTCATAAGAGGGAGCACATCACCCCCCACTCTGGCTTCACTCCACTGGCTGCCTGTTCATTTTAGAGTTCATTTTAAGATGATTTTATTTGTTTTTAAAAGTTTAAATGGTCTTGCTCCATCTTACTTCTCTGAGCTGTTTCACCCATACTCTCCTGCTCGGTGCCTCAGATCAGCTGATCAGCTGCTCCTGGAGGTGCCGAGGTCCAAATGGAGACTTAGAGGGGACATAAGTTTGTCTCTTGCTCCAAAATTATGGAACAATATCCCTTTCTCCATCAGACAAGCCCTATCACGGTTCACGCTTATTTGAAACAAACTCATTTTTATTCCCTGGCTTTTGGCACAGCCCGACTTGCTCTGGTTTATTTTTACTACTGTTTTTTATTGGTCTTACTATTTGAACTGTTTTTATTCTTTTTTTTATGTTTCCTTTATTTTACATTTATAGCACTTTGTTGTAGCTGTGGGTTTTTCAAGTGCTTTATAAACAAAGTAGTAATAGTAGTGCTAGTATTGATAAGCTAATTATGGCTTGTCTAAACGGACGCACTGCCAAACTGGTTTCAGCTTTCTTAAAACAACTTCAGTCTTCAACATTTTGTAGAGGTTCTTGCTGTAAAATTCAACTCCTGCCCTGGCTGCATGTGGTCAAGCCATGTGATCATCAGTTCTGTCAGACATAAACTCTATTTCTCGTAACTGAGGCCATTCAAAAAGCTGTCCACAACAGGTAAGATATTTATTTCTCCAAAGCTTCAAAAACAGGTCAAATGGCCAGAATATCCTGTTTATGTAGTGAAGTTTGCAAATGATCTAGGCGCTAAGTGTTTTTACATCAAAACGTTATTAGTTTTGTCAATTCTAACAAAAAAAATAGTCAATATATGTTCGTATAAAGTCGTCATGGAAACTCTGTGCATTTGATCTTTTACAGAGGCATTGTATTTTTTTTACCCATAAGCTGACCATGACATCACTCAGGAGTTATGCAATATACAGTGTGGGGCCTCCTCTGTGAAATAACATACCAAAACAACTTTAAGTACAAACAGCCACTAATATTGGCATTACACCTCATCTACCTCAAGACTTTCACTCCCAGTCTGTCTGGATATGACTAATGTGACTTCACTATGGAGAAAAATGTGCAGAGCTTAAAATGTGAAACATAAGTTCCATCATGCAGCAGAGAGAAACCTGGACACATGTTTTTGTCCATTTCTCAGGCTGTTATGTTTCCATTTGCTAACAGCAAGCATGTAGGTTGTGCTCTTTTGATACGTCAAAGCTTTCATAGAGCCTTGTGTGTTCTTGCTCTTCTCTATCTGATGAGTAAAAGTTTGCAAAATCTATGTTTTTACTGTTGCCATGGCAGGTACCCATATGGTCAGATGGAAGAGGCAGTGGGGAGTTTTAGTTTTCATTTTATGTGTAAACAAGATTTTTTTTTCTTTTTTTGTAGTTTCTGTAGAAACTGCTGCTAGTCACTGGTGAGAAAGATGACAAACCACATAGTAATCAAGTAAATGTGTATTTCTGAAGTTCCCACACAGAAAACAACAAAAAAAAACTTTTTAAAATTTAGTTTATTATGTTTCAGCTCAATCACAATTTGCACTTTGGTAGCCTTTAAGGACAAGCAATTAAAGTTGCTAAAATTTGTGACATGTCTCTTTCACAAAACACTTCTCCGATATGGCCACAAAGACAAGCCCAACTTCAAGCTGTCTTTGGCCATTCATAATTCAACAGTTGAGCAAACCACATCAAGCAGTGATGACAGCTTTCATAAAAACAGCTGGCATTGTGGAACCAAAGACGTTTTGTATTGCAACTCAGTGGGGTTGACTTGGAGCGCTACGCTGAAAATGTGTCTAAATCTTATGACCAGCTAGTCACACAGACCAACATTCCTGCATCACACCGTCGAGCTGAAAGTATGGCCTGGTCTTTTATATATTGACATTATGTCTCTGTGACTATCTTGCTTGATGGCTCAGAGGTGCAACAGCAGCAGGTTGACTTCAGACCACATGCTGTCTTTATCTTTCATAAACCACCCTGAGATGATGCATTATTTAATATATGAATGAGTCAGTGTATTTTTATATGTTGATATATTTTAAACATTTTTTTTTTAAAATAAAAATGTTTAAACAAATGATTTATACATGAATTGATGGAGAAGTGAATGGTGACAAGTGAATAATGGTCATGAGGATGATAAATACTAAGACGAATGGGTAGATACACTTGTTACTACTTTTTTCACAAATACTTTAATATCTGGGCAGATAGACAATAGGTAAAGTTGAGAAAAGACTACCGCTCAGATGGATTTGTAGGCATGAATCTGTTTGTTAAATATTGGATCAACAAATCAATTGAGAGGTATAAAATGATTTAGATAGATCAACATCTGAATTGTTTGTGGGATGAATGGTTGGATAGACCAGTGGTCATTGTTACTGATACAGTAGATGAGCAGATGATGGATGCATACACCAAAAGATGAATGAAAAGAAAACTATTTTTTAGACGAATATTAGATTTTGAAAAGGATTTTCTTTGGACAAATATGTAGATGAATAGATTAATTAGTGTAAAGATAAATAATTCCTGTCTGGAAAGTGGAACAGTGTTCTAGGCCAGTTTTTGATTTGAGGGTATACCACAATTTTCCAAAATTATGGTTTCATAGCCATTAACCTTTTCCATCATTTTCTTTCTGTGGTTTGAGCTGTTTTAGCAACTTTTCAAAGACAAACCAAGCAGGGATTTCTCAAGCTGTGTGCAGTGTAACAAACCCCTCTTCCAAGAGTTTGGAGTTGTAAGCTGTCAGCTGTGAGAATATCATGACATAAATCAGGGGAAACCCCTGAACTGTTCTCCAGTTAAAACAAAGTTTGCTGTATGGGATTTCTCTAGTAAAAAAACAAAAACAACACAGGCAACCATGACTACAAGAAAACACAGTTCTTAAATGATTTCTCATCTATGGAGCAACACCCAACCTTATTTTTAGGAACATGCTTTTTTTTTGGAACAAAGCTACAAAACATAGTGACTCCGTAAAAGTAATCAGCTTGTTGCTGCCTGACAACAGAGACAGATAACTCAGCCAATTAACAAATACTATCCATGTGACAGGCTCAACAACACCTCACAAGGTGATGTGAAAGTAGAGAAGTACCGTACTACTATTGTGTACAATTTTACTGTACTTGCATTGCCAATCTGGTCTTTCACAATGTGTACATTTGTTCAAAATATCATTTATAAATAACCATTTAATGGATGGATATATGGTTATATGTGATGGGAATGTAAAGGTCATGGATGTTTCACTAATGTCAAATATTATAGAACCGTGTGTGTGCGTTAGAGTTGTTTTGTCTTTGCAAAGTGGAGCCTGCAAGAGCACGGAGCCTGCACACCTGATAAACTTCAAGGCCCTAAACTGGAAAGCAGAGTTGTCTTGAGAGGTTGTCTTGACTTTACCTCTGTCTCATATAAAAAGACACTTCCTTTTACTGCCTGTGAGCAGACCTTGGAGACGAAGTGCCATGTAACATCTTGATGCTTGTATTTCAACGCTGCTCCTCTTCCAAGATTAAACCTGGATTGATCAAGATTTCTAGTTTCCTTGCATGGCTTAATTATTTAATGAGTTGTTGATAGGATAATTAAATTATCCAACAACATGCTTGATAAGATATATGAATAAATAGATGGACTTGTGCACAGGTTAATAAATGCATGATCAATAATCAGATGGATGCAATATGTGTGCTCAATAATCCAGGTAGATTAATCTAACAAGGTTGAGTCAGGTCCTCTGGACTGAATCTTCAACTCAACTCAACTCAACTTTATTTTGGTAAATTAGCATTACAGAAAAAGGAAAACAATATAGACTACTTTTTGACAAATCAATAATTTACCAAAAAAGGAATAGGCTGAAGCCGAGGTTTATACTTGCCTACCCTGTTCATAGACTCAGCAGTCTTCAATAATAAAATATATCTACTGTCCATATATATACATACATTACATATACACATATCTATATAAAAATATGTCTGTGTATATGTATAAGCATACTTACATTACATACATACATTGTTAAACACTACATATATACATCTACATAACAGTATAAGCTTTTATAATTTTACCTTTTATGGACCTTTTAAAGCTCAACAAAAAAGCACATAATTTGAGTTCATCATTCAATTCATTCCACAATTTCACACCGACAACTGAAATGCATCTAGATTTTACTTTACTTTTCTCTTTAGCTTGTTCAAATATTAATAAACCTCGTAAATTATAATTACTCTCCCTTAACTTAAATAATTTCTGAATTCCAGAAGGAAGACTTTTATTCACTGCTTTATACATTATTTCCAGTATTTTTATATTTACAATGCCATTAACTTTTAAGGTGTTACTTTGAATAAAAAGTTTATTAGTTGGTTCACAATATCCCACTTTATTAATAAGCCTAATTGCTTTTTTTGTAACTTTACTAATATGTCAATAGTTGTTTTATTAGCATTTCCCCATATTTCTGCACAGTATGACAAATAGGGCATAACCAAAGAAGAGTATATAATATGCAAGCCTTTTACATTTATTAAATCTTTTATTTTAAACAATATTCCAACAGTTTTTGAGACTTTATTTCTAATATATTCAAAATGAGGCTTCCAACTAAGTTTGTTATCCAGAATGATACCTAAAAACTTTGTCTCATAAACTCTGTCGATTTCAACTCCATTTAGATGTAACTTTACATTATTGTAAATCCGATTACCAGAAAATACCATAAATTTTGTTTTTTGTCCATTTAATGATAACTTATTGTAATCAAACCACTTTTTTAACTCAGCTAGCTCTTTTTCTACTATTTGTATTAGTTCATCCATATTCTTTCCAGAAAGAAAAAAATTTGTATCATCAGCAAACATTATAAATTTCAAAATATTGGATACTGTAAAAATATCGTTCACATAAAGTATAAATAATTTAGGTCCTAGAACCGAGCCTTGAGGAAGACCACATTTTATAGTTTCAGTTTGTGACTTTGTATTGTTAATTTGTACATATTGTAATCTATTACTCAAGTAACTCTTTAACCACTGATGTGTAACCCCCCGTAAGCCATATTGTTCACATTTCCACAGTAGTCGTTCATGGTCAATAGTGTCAAACGCCTTACTTAAATCAATGAACACTCCCACTGTATTAAGTTTCCGATCAACTGCTGCAGCAACGTGTTCCACAAACTCCATCACAGCTAAAGTTGTGGAATAGTTGTTTCTGAAGCCGTACTGGTGTTCATTTAATATATTGTTTTTATTAAGAAAGGAGTCCAGCCTTTTTATGAATATTTTTTCCAGGATTTTAGAAAACTGTGGTAGCAATGAAATAGGTCTATAATTTGTTACATTTTGCTTATTACCATTTTTGTGGACTGGAAACACCTTGGCTACTTTCATTTTATCAGGAAATTCTCCAGTTAAGAATGATCTATTACAGATATAGGTGATAGGTTTAATAATACTATAAATAACTTCTTTCACAATAGCCATATCAATATAATTACAGTCTTTGGATTTCTTATTTTTTAATTTTTTAACTACTTCGATTACCTCACTTTCACTCACTCCTCCAAGAAACATTGTATTAATATTATTAAATGTATAATTGAGTTTTTCATCTCTAGCCTTTGGCAACTCATTATCTTCTTTGTTGAAACATTTCGTCTTTTGACTGAAGGCTGAAGAAGTCTCTAATGTTACTTCATATTTGTGCCAGACCTGATGTGTCTTTAGGAAAACAGTTTTTCAGACATGTACTTGAACCAGCTGAATTTGTTTACCTTGTCACAATGGATTCCAGAGTCTCTTCATAGACAAAATGTTGAATCTACACTGGATAACTTAAAAGTTTTAATTTTCCCCATGCCGTTTTGAACACCATCCTGTTCTCTATTCAGAATCTTCTACCCCAAGCCCTTTGGGAGACAGTCTGCGAGACATCACAGATGTGGCTCCCTGTCGCAAGCGCCGCTTCCGCCATCTTGGTGACCCAGAGCTCACTGTGAAAAGACCAAGACCAAAGACAGCACAGAAGAAGGGGTATGAATCTGTGTTCATTGTTGTTCACATCTGCGTTGGTGCATTTGTGCTACTGCTGTTTGTTTTAACAACGTGAAAAAGTAGTCCTTTCTGAAGTCCCCAGCTTTGTGGTATCTTTGTGGAGCAGTTTATTGCCACTACAAACAATAAAAGTCTCCACAGTACTGTAGAAGTGTTTTATATAAAGAAAGTAAATTTATTTAATAGAAAGTACTATATGAGTTAGTGTGAATGTGTAAATGTGAAACACCGTAAAGTGCTTTACAGAACCTGGGGAAGTTAATTAAATGTTCTGTATAAGTGTGGACTGTTTGTCACTTGGATTACAAAAAACAAAGAGATGAACTAAGATCTGGTTCTGTTCTCTTCCTCTTCCTCACCTATCTCTGCACTAGGAGTTTTTATGGATTACCTAGTTTAATAACTCGAAAAGGAAGAAACGGGCAAAGATAATGGATGGATGGATAGTTTAATGTGTCACTCAGCAATTTAACCTGATAAACAAAGTAACACCATAACATTTTAATGTCATATTAAGTTGTTTTAGCACAAAGTTGCAACTTGCTCCTTGTAGGCTTACTGTATTTTTCAGCCTATAAGTCGCTTTTTAAATTTTTTTCATAATTTGCATGCCTTGCAACTTATATGCCAAAGCAACAACACCTTTACTATAATTTGAGCAAACAATTGTTTTTAGTTGGTTATCTTGTTAAATTTCAAAGAAATGCACAGCAAATTGCTTTCTGCGTGTTCCTGTTTCTGCGTATCGGCTTTTGAAAATGCACCTGATTTGACCGTCAAAGTGCATTTATTAAGGAAAAGTTAGACTGAGACACACCTTTGCTATAATTTCGAGTAAACAAATAATTGTTTTTAAGTGTTATTCTTCTTAAAGTCCTCCCGTGCACGCTCCTGTGGCTGCCAAATATCGATTTTTGGCACAACACATTTCCGGGTTGTCAGCGGTGACGCATAATAGATGTGATGTACGACGAAGCACCATATTTATGGATTTTTCCACTTTATTAGACATATTTGGACTGATGCGATGTGTACGGCGGAAAATATGGTAATAACTTATTTTTAGTTTAAATAAATTCAACCACAGATTTGAGCTTTTTTTATTTAAATTTTCATTGTTTTTTTGTCAACTTGTATTGGGTTATCAAACTCTCATCTTGGAGTCTAAACCGGGACCTAACAAGCTGGATGACTTGCAATATGTCTATTTTTACAACTACAGGTATGTCACTTTTATATACATACAATGTAGTAAATGTAAATACTGCTTCATTACAACTTCCCTGTTTGCAGGTTGGCTCTTGACTTTGTATGTTTTCCCTCGGACCAAAGTTTGACATGCCAAGCTAGTGATGTACTCTGTGTTTTGTTTTGTGGTGGTCTGGTGAGCTGTCCAAGGTACACTCAATCTTGTGTTTGCTGTCCAAAAGAAAAGTTTTGCTTTAAAAACAAAAGACTTTCTTTGAAATCTTATAAGGGTGGGTTGTTGCAAAAAGTCACAAGTCTAAACTAGAGTGCAAGCGCAGGCAGAATGGCATAACATCACATCTGGAAGAGAATGTTTCCAAAAACAGAGGTTCATATTTTTACCAACTATGTAAAACATGGCCCTACACGTCTTACACTTTTCATAGACTATCTTTGTATTTGGGATAACAAATGTCAGTCATACAAGATAATAAATAATAAATATGTTACCAGAATAGCTGTTCCTGAAGACAAATTCTGCTCCAGTATCAGAATGACCTGCTGCAGACTTGGAGGTAATGTTCTGGTCCATCCAGTTTTGGCTCTTTTTTTTTTCTTTCTTTGTCCTTTCTATAATTTCTAGGAAACCATTCTTCTGGTAACTCTGACTAAAGTAAAAAAAAAAAGACCGAAATTAAAAACTGATCCTATTAAGCCTTTTTGAATGACTTACACCCACATGACATTTCTGAATACGATAGTTAAATTGAAAAATGTAAATGTAACCTGTGAGTGTAGATAGACACCTATGTTTCACTTTTATTTTGTCTTCTCCAAAGTCCCATTTCATTTTCTTTGGTTTAAGAGATACTTCATAGAAATGGGTTCTTTTGGTCTGAAAACAATTCATTTTGTGATTTCTAAAGGAGTTGTGAACATAAACTGGAGCCCAAGCCACTGGCCTCAAAGAGACAATTGTGTAACTTTGCTCTTGTTCCTATAGCCACAGTATCCATGCTCAGTCAGACCATCACACGGCTCTTAAGCTTAGTTTCTGCTCATCCAGAACCTCACAGCGCTGCTGCACTTGTGCCCAAATTATTTATTTGCCAGCTTCTTTTTTGAACAAGGTCATTTAGAAAATATTTCCAAAGGCATGTCTCGATCTGACTGTTTCTATAGCAGTCATCCAAGCTCTTCCAAAAGAGCGAACACACACTGTTCAGGCTTCTCCAAGTGCCAGTGACTGTAAACTGTGCTGCATGCTGATGGACATAACTGTCGCCATCTTTCCTCAGTTGCTCTCAGTGGTTGGTATTACCACTGCAGGCGTATTATCAACCCTGACAGTTAACTGATGAGCAGCTGCTGCTGCCTGTCCATCCGATCGCTGCTCTGCTCCGAGCTGCCAAACAGTGGCTGCAGAAACAACGCCTTCAACTGAGAAGGGCTGTTAGAGCAGGGCTTTATGGCTGTCCTGTACCCAACTATTATTTTTTCAATGCTACTTACAGTTTTCTCTCTGTTACCTCGTTGTTTTCCTGCATGCAGCTCATCTTATGAGAGAAAGAGGAGAAGGAGAAAGTTCAGTGACTGATAGTGCCCGAAGACTAAACAAGGCCAGATCAACTCAAGAACTAGGAATGACTAATTCATGGCGACACCAAATTGCAACATTTTAGGAAATAATTGCTGCAAGTGTAGAGTCACATTTTTCTTTAGCGATGAGTCAACTGGTGCTGCGTTCGTACTGACTTGGAAACGTTTAGTCTCCTGTTTGACATTGTTTATTGAAGTTTTATCTTTGACTGTCAAACTTTCCTTTTTTTCTTTTCAAAAAGTTTATGAAGATGTTATCATAAATATGAAAACGTGTTTTTTTTTTATTCCCTTTTCAAGACCTGAAACAGCCATGACAAGAAGTCAAGTTTATGTAGAATCTATTGTAAATCCTAAGCGATGCATTTTAATAAAAAGCTAAAATGTCTTGAACACAATATAGCATTGATTTGTGAATAAGTTGGTACGCTGTATTTTAGTGTTAAAGCTTTAGGCAGGGAGGAAAAAAGTAAAATAAATGCAGTAGACCTGGAGGGAGTTCAAACAAAGTTTAAACACTTGGTATTCTGCTGTTAACTTGAATATTTCTTATACAGTAGTCCCTCGTTTATCACAGGGGATCTGTACCCTGAAGCCTCGCGATAAGTGAAAAACCGCAAAGTAGGATATATATATATATCAAGGCGGTTTAAACCCCTCCCACACTTGCAATATTCTACACAATGTTTCTAAACTCTAAACGCTCTAAAAAAAGCACAGAATGTCATGAAATCAGCTCTCTGCCTTGGCTGCAATCTCGGCCACGCCCACTTCTCTGCACAGAGATCAGCTTATCTCCGTGCAGAGCAGAGATCAGCTAATCAGCTGCAGGAGGAAGCTTCTCCCACAGGTATGGGCTGCACACAGTTGCTAAATCGTTTAAACTAATTTATTTTAAATAAAAATTCCATGCTGATCGTGTGGCTCATCCATCAATCAGTCACTGCGTGTCATGTCCAATCTTACTTTGAAAAACCGCGATAGAGCGAGTCTGCGAAAAATGAACTGCGAAGTAGCGAGGGAGTACTGTACAGCTATTATGCTGTAAAGCTAAAGTGCAGATGAGGATTAGGCCCATGGTGTAAAATTAATAAATAATAAAATAAAATAAAAAAAACCCTGAATTCTGACGTTCATCTCAGAATTTTGAGAAAAAAATCTGACTTTTCTCCTAAAATCGAACGAGTCAGAAAAATGTCAGAATTCTGATATTAAATATTCTGAGAAAAAAGTCAGTTTAGACACAAAAAAAATATTGACGTTTTCATTTTTGTTGTACGTCCATCATGGTATAGTCTCCATCCGTATGTCTGGAGACTTTCTTTTGTCCTGCCCAAAACTTTCTGATCCGCTACAGATGATTCAATAAAACTTGATACACATATGCATCATCACTACACAGAGTGCCACACACTCTTTGACACTCCAGCTCCAAGGTCACTGTCACAAATCAAGGTCATATTTTTAACAAGTTCTTTGCTTGTCCGTGCAGTTGCTATAGATCACTGTATTCCTGTATAATAGTTTGTCGGTGGGCTTATATTATGCTATGTGGTACTCTTGTTTTGCTTTATTGGCCAATGTGCACAACATTTTAGTACAGTTATTTAAAAAAAAACTGAAAAGAAAACAAAAGTAACCATTTAAAAAAAGCACTGTATTACGTTTAAGCACAAAAGAGTATAAAGACATCTTAAATGGAAATGGGTCAATGAATTTCCAGTTGTGTTGAATATTCCAGTGAGAGAGATATATATATATATATATATATATATCTCTCTC